TCAAATAATGAAAAATATATAAAGCTTTTATAATCTTCAAATTCAAACATAGATTAGATTTTAAGTTATAAACATTTTATTCTTACTTTTTTTCTTTTAATTTTCATCATCTGAGGATTTTTTTTATCTATCAGAAAAGGTTTGTCTAATAATCTATATATGTGAAACAATATTTTCTATTTTTGCTGAAGTAAACATGAAAGAAAGAGATGAATTTCAAGAAACATAGTTGTTTCTTTGTTCAATTAATATATTAAGTATCTTCTACTCTTCACCTTTCAAAAGTCATATTCTATAATTTCTCTTTATTTAGAATCTTAAAAAAAACATATCAACGTCTCCTTCAACAAAATAAGGAAAAGAAATCTGTCAGCCCTAAATCAACCCAAATAAATTGCATGAATCTTTTCTATTATTTTTTATTTTTTATTTTTTATTTTTTAGTTGCTTTTACCTTCTTCTTTTTTTTCTTTATTTCATTTTTCCTTGCCTGCCCATTCATTTTACACTATTTTGGTGAATAACAAAAAAAATATTTATTAACAATTTCTTTCTTCTTCTCTCACTTTTCAACACCTTCTTTATAACCAGCTACTCCTCCACGCTAAAACTGCTCCTTTCCATCCTCTAAATCATTAAAAGTATGAAAAAATCTCATAAAATCTAAAAACATTTGCTCATTTCTTGAAAAAGTACTCAAGAAATATTGGCTTGGGAAATTAAATACAATATAACTTAGTTATTAAAAAAGCATCATATATTATTGGCTTCATAAAATAGTCATATACGGCATGAAATAAAAAACAAAGGGAGGTCAAACTTGTAGTAGAGAAAAAAAAAAGAAAATAAGAATCAATCAACCAGTTCGGCTCACCTGCAAAGAAAATAACAGTATTATTACAATCAACAATATTCTTTTCTCCGCCTTTTCTTTCTTTCTTTTTTAGTATGAAGATGTATGGCATTACTTAAAAAGTTAATGAAAAAAACTTACTGGACATTATAAAAGGTTTCCACTCTCTTTTCGAGAATACTATTCATCAAATTAACAATATTGATCTTGAAAAATGTTGAAGGACCTTATAAGTATAGGGTGTGAATCTTTAGCATTTATTGTTGTTCCTCATAAATACAGAATATGAAAGCGTCGAAGCTAAGTAATGACCATTTTTGTGACACAATCGTTGGTAAGCATTAAATTTATGAAAGGTGGAATAGTAACCGACGTTTTTGAAACACAAACGTTGGTAAACATTTCCTTGTTATAAGAAAAAGAGAAAAAAGATACTCCATAGGATCCTTGGCCAAAGAGAAGTGTCAAGTCATCTTGCCCATTCTTTCTTATTTATATATATAACAACAAATTGTGTACTACGTCCCAAAAGTCAGATTTCTTTGATCATCAGAACATGAAACAAATTAATTTAAAGGCCTTAAGATAGTTCGTAAAAGAAAAATCATAGACTCATGTAGGAAAGATTAAGAAACAAAGAGGAAAAATGATTCTATATATGCTTAACTGCTCCCATTCAAATTATTTGTTGTGTAGTGTTACCCTGTTAATAAAAATAACTCACAAAAATAAATACTGATCGGTAAATTCAACTTATTCATTTGATATCTTCTTCAATAAAAAATTGATACGTACGCTCCGATCATTTAGTCATGAAAGGGAAGTGCATGGACTTCTATAAATTCAATTTTGTGAGCTAGCCCTATCCTTCTCAATTGTTGGAAGACCGATCTCATAGCTAATTTTCTCGTTAATATCCATGGCAAGGATATGAAGCAAATTCGTACAAATTTATACATACAATATACCGTCTTTTCAGTTTTTCACTATTATCATACATAATACACAATAAATTTGTTGATGTTTAAGGTAATTTAATTGTGAAAGATATGGAAGAAACGTTAGAAGCTCACACATGTTATTCACAATTGATACGTTATAAACTAATAATAGCACTCTCTTTATATCCATAACTGAAATCTCCTAATAACCTGAAACCTCATCTCTTTTTCTTATTTCACTGTTATTTTTTATTTTATTAATAAATAAATAAGTGAGAGGGAAAGAGTCCAAAAAAAAGGAGATAAAAGATAAATATGAATGGAGGCCATAGAGAGGTGCCGCATCACCTTATCTATGCCTAGCTATATATATATNCGTTTGTTTATGTATTTACCGATACTCCTACATTTTGTGAGGCAATTCATTAATGATTACCAATATAATTGACAGATAATTAATAGTTTCCACAAAAAAAATACCTTAATGTAACAATTTAAAGGAAAAAAGAAAAAGCAGAGACAATATACAAGTATAAATTTGTATATTTAAAGAATAAAAAGAAAAAAAAAAAAACTTTTTATATATGTAAAATAAAGGCATTAACATTCACTTAGTTATAAATGTTTGTTTCCCAATTAGCTAGGCAATGACATTGACAATATGAGTATCTAAAAAAGTAAAACTAGCATGCTAATAAGTATAAAAATCAAAATTTTAATTGGAAAAAAAAGAAGAGAGGAAAGAAATACGGAGGAAGGGGCAATAAGAATAAATCACATATTTGTTAGTCTCAGATCTATCTTTGAGTGCATCTACCGGCACAAAAGAAGATAAAAATCCAAAACATTACAACCCATAAGCAAAATGTTAAAAATTAAAGAAGTGAAAAATTCAAAATAACTACAAACCAAGTAATCACAAAGTGAGAACTACCTCTCCGTTAACAAAACCAAAAACTTAAAATATAAAGTCAGCCACATTGATAGAGTGTCAGATAATAAAACTGTTGCTGGCATATTGGGCTTGTAGGATCAATTTTCTTCTTCTACACACGCAATTTTTGATTCCGCCACTCTCTACTATAAATTTCTATTTAGTAGTAATGTTTTTCATACGCACCAAGCAACTCAATAAAGAAAACCCAAGCAACAGAAAATGAAAATCGGAGAGGAGAGTAAAAAAAACCAAAAAATAATAATGGAGGAAGAGAACTTATTTGTTCATCAATAAAAATAACACATTATAACAAATTAAATAATTGGGGGTTATAACACATTAAACAAATAGGGGGTTACTGATTCAAAAAGTCACAATCCAAGATGTAATTTATAACAAATTAAATAATTGGGGGTTATGAACTTGAAAAGTCACAATGAATGAAGAGGCGTGAGTTATGGATATAATTTTTTTAAATTATGGTTAAAATGAAAGGAAAAAGTCAAAAAAATGAGAAAAAAGATAAATAGGTTTCCTACAATATAAGAAATGCCACGTCATATTGTAAAATCCCTCATATATATATAGAGAGAGAGAGATATTTCAGATCAGGTCAAGTACACAAACTCCAAAACCTCATCGCCAAATATAGAAGTACAATAACTTGAATAGAAATGTAAAATGAAATTATTTCTTGGAAACTTTGAAGAGTAGATGATGTCTTCAAACCGAACACAAAACCCTAAAAGAAGGAAAATGAAAACGCATTAGGCATGGTGTCACAATCCTCATCTGACTTGTACTCATAGAAAGAATTAAAATTTACAATATGATCGATTAAATAATACTAACTTCCCGTGCTTTACTTGATTGTGTATTATATTACGGTATTTAAGACAATAATTTGAATTGTGCATCATATAATACATATAATTAAAAATTTTAATAACTAATTTGACAAAAAAATGACGGCAAGTTTTAATTTAAACGGCGGAATAACTTGAAATTTTGAGAATTTTAGAAGTGATGTTATCCGATAGACTAACATTAAAATCGCATAAATAGTGTATAGTAAGCATTAGTAGTTTGACGTAAGAGTAAAGTTATTAAAATCTCATAATCTTAAATTTAAACACACATACTAATTGAATTGTGATAATATATCGGTACGGTTGGGTGTGCAAATAAATCCCACATTGATAGCGGTAAGATTTAGAGTCTGCATATAAGGTGTAATGATCTTTTAGTGGCGTGAAGCCTTCCGGAGAAAGGTGTATAGATCTGACCTAAAACGGATAATATCATACCATGTTAAGAGTATCTTTGGGTTGGCTGAGCCCTACAACTGGTTTCAGAGCCCAATTCAACGGGACGAGTATGTTGGTAGCAAAATGAAGGTGCAAGACTTGGTTTGCTTACCCTTACGAGCTTGAAGATGTGCACATGAAAAGAAGCTAGTTGCGGGTTTCGGGAGATCAAAGTAGTTGAAAAGATTAGGAACCTCCATATAAGGTGTATGAATCTCTTAATAAGGCCTTTTGAGAAAAATCGTACCGGCTTGACCCAAAGCAAATAATATCACACTATGTTAAGAGTATCATGTAAAAATAGCACGGGCTAGCCAGTTTTCGGACTAGGTAATTGAAAAATAGCCAGCATTTGCAAAGTCATTGAAAAATAGCCACTATTTTGCTGCAACACGAAAAGTTCCAGCATAATATACTGGAGATTGGTGCACCTGCGTATGAACTTCCAACATATTATACTGGAACTCCAGCACATGGAAAGTTCCAGCATAATATACTGGAGATTGGAGCACATGTGTATGAACTTTCAGCATATTATGCTGGACCAGTATATGCTGGAGCTCCAGTATATTATGATAGAGTTCCAGATATACTGGAGTTCCATCATAATATACTGGAGTTCCAGCATAATATACTGGAAGTTCACATGTAAAAAATTCGAATTCCAGTATATTATGCTGGAATATTTTCCGGAATTTGAACAATGTTTTCGTTCAGATTTATCTTTATATGAAAAGTAGCTAAATTTCAATTACTTTTAAAACTATGGCTATTTTTCAATTACCACTTATAAATCTAACTATTTTTGAATTTCACCCGAATATCATTGAGTTGTTTTAGCCGACAAGGTACAAATATGTATAAAATCTTGTGTATAGCAATTGTGTGTGGATATAGAAAGAGCACAATATGATCATATTTGTAATTATGATATTGTAGGGGGGCTTAAATTAAATTTCCCACTTTTGTGAATTTATCAGTGTCCTCGCTCGCTGCTCTCTGGTCACTGCTACTTGTAGAAAGTACGCGTGGCCTCCGCCGCATTTCCTTCCAGAACTGTCACACACTTCTTACTACACTTTAATTAACGAACTCCTTTGAAGCTAAACTACAGAGTCTCCAAATTACAAAAACAAGAATTAGAAACACTTGTTTTCACTCTCCCCAACCAATTCACCAGAAGAGGGAAACTAAAATATCTCGAGGCCAGCCATGTCTCTAAGCAACAATATTACAGCTTTTTTGAACTTTGTGGCGTTCATGTGTTCTATCCCCATAATCGCCGCCGGCACGTGGCTTGCTTCTAAGCCAGACAACGAGTGCATTCACTGGCTCCGTTGGCCCGTTGTTTTCATGGGTCTCGCCGTTATGCTAGTTTCTTTAGTTGGTTTTGTCGGTGCTTACTGGAAAAAAGAGGGACTTTTGGGTGTCTACTTGGTGTGTATGGCCATTCTTATCATCCTTCTCCTTGTCCTCTTAGTTCTTGCCTTTGTTGTCACGCGCCCCAACGGCGCGTATTTGGTACCCGGTAGGGGTTACAGTGAGTACAGGCTTGCTCGTTTCTCTTCCTGGCTCAGGAATCATATTACAAGTTCTGATAATTGGGGGAAGATAAGGGCTTGTTTGGCTGATTCTAATATTTGTCCTAAGCTTAATAATGAGTTTATTACTGCTGATCAGTTCTTCGCTGCTCATCTCTCCCCTATCCAGGTATATTCCACCTCTTCCTTTATTCTTCCTTTCCAAATTTAGCCCACCAACAGAGTAAGATTTTCGTTCCTCTGTTTTTTTAATTTAGAACGGTTTTTATTGAGAATTAATTTATAGCTCACTAGCAGATAGCTGTTAAGTAACTCAATCTTATTATTGCAAAGTTCGACTCATCAAGTCATTCCTTTTCCTCTTAGAACGGATTTTTAGCATGTCCAGGTAATTGAAAGAAGGTTAAAACAATCATTTTACACACACAAAAAAAAAAAAACTAGAAATAATTAGTGAAAGTAACAATTTTGCTGATTATTGTGTTGATATATTTCAACGAGATTACCCTCCAAAAAAAAGGGGGGGGGGGGGGGGGGGGCGCTCAGGATCATTACTTTTCTCATTTGTCAAAAGAGCATGAATAAAGTGCAGATAAAACAGAAGTATTTGGTGGTTGTAGAGAGCTGGAGAAAACAAAAGATAAAGGGCAAGACATGAACTAAAATGTACTATGATGAAATCATAATTTATGGTAACTTATTGGAGATTTGACTTTAATTACTGCGCCATTACCTGAGCATATTAATCTATTTATGTGTTAATTAATTAAAAATGAAAAAGGTGTTGCAACATTCAAACTTGTTATGGTGGGATGGGACCTACCATGAGAGCTTGTTGGTGAATGAAAGGATCAGTCCATAGTTTGGAAGACATTTAGTTGTTTTGTCAACCTAATAGAGTTCAAAAACTGCATTATTGCCCATACTGAGACAAACTAATATGATTCTTGACTTTGGCCCACTAGTCGAATTTACCAGGTTGTAGATTGATGAATCTGGATATCTAGATTATTCTATCTGAAAATATCAGAACATATACTCGGTGCCAAATGCCATGAATTCTAGGTTCTATACTACTTGTGTCACAAGAAATCACTATGAGCCTATATAGCTCACACAGATTCACCACATCAATGTCTGTTGAGAACTTTTTGTTCAAATTGAATGCAATCATATTTGCACGAAAGATAGTATGAATCTTACTTAGGACTTGGCATTCTTGTAGCTTATTGTTTCTATGCTGTCATACTGGAGAGATTTAAGTGTGCTAAGGTCTTGTGTGGAATACAAAAATTTTCCTAAGTCCTGTTTCGATCTCATGCCGATAGGACCAAGATGGAGGGGCTTGGATTGATCGAGTTAATTTGAACCTAGATCAAAAAGATTTTTTCTTTAGCACAGAGCATGTCCATTAATCATGGTGCTATGAATGAAGAGCTGACCATTGGCTGTATGCAATATATAGGAACTACCGGTCTGTGATCTTGAACCTCTCTAACTATTTATGGGCCTCTTGGCATTTGCTTTTTCCATAGACGACACTAGTAGTGACCGCTCTTTCTGGTTTCCACTTGTTAGGTGGACAAATGTACTTGACTACCCTAGGAAATCACTCTGGAATCATGGAGTTCAGATATTGTTATTTCTATACATAGTACAAGATAATGAAGGTTACTAACTAGTATATAGTAGTTGCTAGCTTCTGCATCTAATATGTTTGTTTGGGACCTTTAGTGTCTCAAGCATAAAGTGGCTTTGCACGGTCCCCATCCTCCTCCCCCTCAACAATCATCTTACTCCGTGAAGGGGTTTGGGATTGACAAGTTTTGGCTTCACAAGACACTATAGGAATTCAGGGTCTAATCTAAAGGCGATCTGAACTCGTTTTTTCTTTTCAAGTATGTCAACTAGGTAGCACAATAAATGTCGATAGTGTTTAGTAAGCATAAGTTATGATGCAACTAGTAGTTTACAAATATATTTAGCTTTATATTCTCTTTGTTTACCATTTGCTTTTTGTTCTCTCCAAATTGTGCAGTCTGGATGTTGTAAACCTCCAACAATATGTGGATACCAGTATATGAACCCAACGGTCTGGAATAACCCAACAAACACAATAGCAGACCCAGATTGCTCCATCTGGAACAATGACCCAAACCAACTGTGCTACAACTGTGATGCGTGCAAAGCTGGTTTGCTGGGAAATATCAGAAAAGAATGGAGGAAAGTTAATGTCATTCTCATCATAACTGTGGTGGTTCTCATTTGGGTATATCTCATTGCCTGCTGTGCATTCAGAAACGCCCAAACTGAACAACTTTTCCGACGTTACAAACAGGGTTGGGCTTGATTTTTTTCTTTGTATATTGTCTTCTTTGTTCTTAATGTTAGCTAATCTGTATTACTATAATGAATAATGAAACAATAAACTTTCTGAAACATAAAATAGAAATAGAAAGTTAGCAACAACAGAATATCGAAATAATATCTGAAAATAATTTCAGAATAAATCGAGCTCACTGAATGCACAATGTGTCCTTAAGGAAATTATTTCCCTCAAGTACCCGAGGTGCTGGAATATTATCCTCCCAGGATAGAACGATTTAACTCACTAGTGTATTGGTACCAAAAACTCTGATGAACTGCGAACCACTCAATGGTTGTAAAACATACTGGAAAATTTTGTGCAGAAGAAAGGATCAGAAAATCTCGTAAGGAAAGATTCTGGGATCAAGTCATATTTATAGCCATTTTCTGGCACTGTATGAAACAGGTGTGAATATTTCACGTGTAGAATATTCCAGGAAAAGGATTTAAAATAATCTAGGAAAGAACTGGACCGGGTCGTGTTGTAGGTCCTGGGTTATTTTGGCTTGAATTTTTGTTAATTAATTAAATAATTGAAAGAAATTTTGTCCAAAAAGATTAATCAATCAATCGATCTTTGACCGAATTCGAATCCAAATCTGATTGTCGAGCGAGCGAGCGATGGCGTTGTGAGATTTACTTTCTTTCCAACTCATTTAACACTAAGAGAAATGCTTTCTCAATATAAGCACATTCACATTTCTTTCCACCACCAATGAGGGACACTTTGCTCTTTCCAAAGCAAAAGGGAGCTCACTTTCCCTCCACTTTCTTTCCTCAATTTCCCATTCACTAATCTTTTAATCCCAACAATCCCCCACATGAAGGGGGAATGGCTATAAGACAAAGGAATGCACGTACGAATGTGTGATTTACATACAATGATTAATTGCTTCTAGATAAGTAGGTTTCCCTTTGAACTTTCCGTAGTGAACTTATTTCGGATATATTCAGTCAATCGGTAGATTTGATATCTTTGAACCGTCGAGTTTTGTTGTATACCTAGACAACATAAGTCAAACAATCAACCCTTAACCATCTATGGTTCTCACGGTTGTATTCGTTTCAGCCATGAACATCGCCTGGTTTCATGTGTGCTTAGAGAATGGGCCTTTACTTTCATTCCCCTTGAAGCGGCTTACACTTCACACTCACATAGGTGATTTCTAATCGTGTAATCCTATAGACACACTATCTGAACATTTCCTGCCAGACTTAGCAAATCATTAAAAAGCTTTAAGCTTTATTGATTCATCAAAAAGCCTTAATGTTTTACCCTGATTTCTTAACATTGTCTTCATCACGAGAATGGGTTGAGTTATTTGACAATGTTGAACCGTCATTCATAACTTTGTTTGATCTCTTTGAGACTAACTCTTGGGATCTCCAGTCTGCTAGGTAGAGTTACTGCCATGATGACTTGTCCTAGGCCTTAACCCCATTCCCTTCGATGATCTTTCAACTGCCTCTCTAGATATGCCTTTTGTAAGTGGATCCGACACGTTATCTCTTGACTTTACGTAGTCAATCGTGATAACACCACTAGGGAGTAGTTGTCTAGCGGTATTGTGTCTCCGTCGAATGTGGTGAGATTTTTCGTTATACATAACGCTCTCTGCCATGCCTATTGCCGCTTGACTATCACAATGTATACATATATGTGTCAAAGGTTTGGGCCAAAATGGAATATCTTCCAAGAAATTTTGGAGCCATTCAACTTCTTCACCGGCCTTGTCTAAAGGTATGAATTCAGATTCCATTGTAGAACGGGTGATGCATGTTTGTTTGGATGATTTCCAAGACACTGCTCCACCCCCAATTGTGAAAATATATCCACTCGTGGATTTAACTTCAGATGATCCGGTGATCTAATTTGTATCACTATATCCCTCGATCACGGAGGGATATTTGTTATAATGCAAAGCATAATTTTGGGTATCTTTCAGATACCCCAAAACTCGATTCATTGCCTTCAAATGCATTTGATTGGGATTAGTTGTAAATCGACTCGGTTTGCTAATAGCACATGCTATATCTGGTTGCGTACAATTCATATATACATCAAACTTCTCAATACTCTTGCATAGTCCAGTTGTGAGTCACTTTTACCTTCATTCTTTTGAAGTGCATAACTCACGTCAATTGGAGTCTTGACAATCTTGAAATCCAAATACTTGAACTTGTCAAGTAGTTTTTCAATGTAGTGAGAATGTGATAATACTATACCTTGTGGAGTCTTGTGAATTCTGATTCCTAAGATCACATTAGCAACTTCTAAGTTTTTCATGTCAAATTTGCTAGCCAACATGCGCTTAGTAGCATTTATATCTGCCATATTTTTGTTCATTATCAACATGTCATCAACATATAAACAAACAATTACTCCATGACCTGGAGTGTTTTTAATGTGAACACATTTGTCACACTCGTTGATTTTAAACCCATTTGCCAACATTGTTTGGTCAAATTTTGCACCATTGTTTGGGTGCTTGTTTAAGTCCATAAAGCGACATAACCAGTTTGCACACTTTCTTTTCTTTACCCGAAATCACAAAACCCTTAGGTTGTTCCATGTAAATCTCTTCCTCCAATTCTCCATTTAAGAAAGTTGTTTTAACATCCATTTGATGGATTTCAAGACCATATACGACCGCCAGTGCCACTAATACCCTAATATATGTTATCCTCGTTATTGGAGAGTAAGTGTCAAAGTAATCAAGATCTTCCTTTTGTCTATAACCTTTGACAACAAGTCTTGCCTTATATTTGTCAATAGTGCCATCATCTTTTATTTTCCGTTTAAAGATCCATTTCGAACCTAAAGACTTATTTTCTGGAGGAAGATCAACAAATTCCTATGTATGGTTATCCAAAATTGATTGAATCTCACTATTGACTACCTCTTTCCAAAATGCTGAATCAGAAGATGACATAACTGCTTTGAAAGTTTGAGGCTCATTTTCAAGCAAGAATGTCACAAAATATGGTCCAAAGGAAGTAGATGTTCTTTGACGTTTACTACGCCTTGGATCTTCTTTACTTGGAGTATTTTACTTTGGTTCTTCCCGTGGTCGTTTAGATCTTTCACTTAACGACTTGCATTCAGTTTTATACGGATAAATGCTTTCAAAGAATTCAGCATTATCTTCTTCAATTAACGTATTAACATGAATGATTTATGAACCAAAAACCGACATGCTTTACTGTTTGTAACATATCCAATGAAAACACAATCCACAGTTTTTGGTCTAACTTTTACCCTTTTGGTTAAAGGTACTTGTACCTTTGCTAAACACCCCCACACTTTGAAATACTTCAAGTTAAGTTTTCTTTCTTTCCATTTTTCATATGGAATAGATTGCGCTTTATTGTGGGGTACTCTATTGAGTATTCGGTTAGCTGTAAGGATAGCCTTCCCCACAAACTCTGCGGTAATCCGGAACTTATTAATAAAGAATTCATCATTTTCTTTAATGTCCGGTTTTTCCTTTTCGCAATTCCATTGGATTGAGGTGTGTAGGGGACAGTAGTTTGATGGATAATTCCATATTCCGAATATATTTTGACAAACGGAGATTCATATTCTCTACCCTTATAACTTCTAATCATTTTGATCTTTTTATTCAATAGATTCTCCACTTCATTCTTGTGTTGCTTAAATGATTCAATTTACTGAAAGAGTTGCAATATGTCTTATGTTCTCTATTTTCGAAAAAAAAGACTTTAACGGTAACCTCCAGTAGCACCCCAGTAGCGACACTCCGGCATTTGCTGCTTTGCCGCCGCCGCCGCAGGTGCTGTTACAGGTAAGTCCATTTCTCTCTCTTCAGCCTCTCTCTCTCTCTCTCTCTCTCTCTCTCTCTCTCTCTCTCTCTCTTTCTCTTTCTCTCTCCTTCTTCTTGTCTTCTTTCTTTCTCTCTCTCTCTCTCTCTCTCTCTCTCTCTCTCTCTCTCTTCTTTCCTTTATTTTCCGTTCTCGCTGCCGTAGTCGGGACGTGCGTGTTCCAAGTGAGTTGCTGCAACTCCGATGACCCTTCTAGTTTTGCTTTTTCCGGCGGCCCCTGCTCCATCTTCTTCTTCCCCCCTCTCTTTCTCTCTCTCTTTTCCTTTCTCTCTCCCCCTCTTTTTTGTGTGTGTGGGTGCGTCTGTTTCTTTGGACAGGTGAAACTTCTTCCCGGCGAGGGCAGACTATTTCCCGGTGTGTTCAGATTTTCGACAAGTTTCATAAATTCCGGCAACTTCCGAACAGCTTTCCGACGGGACGCAGCAGGACTTGTCAGTGCTCTTGAGCAGATCCGACACGCTTCAGGAAAACTTGCTCCAGGTTTTTTCGTTCTATATCTGGTACTCGTGGTATCGATATTTTTATTGTTATTTTTTCTCGTTTTGCTTTCGTGTATCTTGGACAGCTACGGTACCTTGTTTAAATTAGATTTAGCTAGACTTGTCGGCTTTTATCTATCTCTGTCTATTACTTTAGTGTATAACTAATTCATAATTTTTCTCTGCTTAGTCGGATCCCTTATTAGCACCTTGTGTACCGGTAGGTTTCTGTTTAGCCTATTCCTTTTTAGTCTATTATGCTTGTAGCTTTGTGCTGGTCTAGTAGCCGCGCCGAGCTATGATAGAGTGAGGGCATGTCCTCA